GGGACTCCAGAGCTGAACGCAGTATTCCAGGTGGGGTCTCACGAGAGCAGAGTAGAGGGGCAGAATCACCTCCCTCGACCTGCTGGCCACACTTCTTTGGATGCAGACCAGGATGCGGTTGGCTTTCTGGGCTGCCAGTGCACATTGCTGGCTCATGTTGAGCTTCTCATCCACCAGCATTCCCAAGTTCTTTTTCCTCAGGGCTACTCTCAATCCATTCTCCATCCAGCCTGTACTTGTTCTTGGGATTGCCCCGACCCATGTGCACGACCTTGCACTTGGCCTTGTTGAACTTCATGAGGTTCTCACAGGCCCACCTCTCCAGCCTGTCAAGGTCCCTCTGGGTGGCATCCCCTCCCTCCAGTGTGTCCACAACACCACACAACTTGGTGTCATCTGCAAACTTGCTGAGAGTGCACCCGATCCTACTGTCCATGTCACCAACAAAGATGTTAAATAGCACTGGCCCCAGTACTGACCCCTGAGGAACACCACTCGTCACTGGTCTCCACTTGGACATTGAACCATTGACCACAACTCTTTTGAGTGCGACCATCCAGTCAATTCCTTATCCACCAAGTGGTCCATCCGTCAAATCCATGTCTCTCCAGTTTAGAGACAAGGATGTCGTGTGGGACAGTATCAAATGCTTTGGACAAGTCCAGGTAGATGATGTCAGTTGCTCTTCCCCTATCCATCAATGCTGTAACCTCATCATAGAAGGCCACCATATTAGTCAAGCAAGATTTGCCCTTAGTGAAGCCATGGTGGCTGTCGGATTTGCCCTTAGTGAAGCCATGGTGGCTGTCACCAATCACCTCCTTATTTTCTTTGTGCCTTAGCACAGTCACCAGGAGGATCTGCTCCATGATCTTGCCAGGCACAGAGGTGAGACTGAATGGCCTGTAGTTCCCTGGATCTTCTTTTTTTCCCTTTTTAAAGATGGGGACTATATTTCCCCTTTTCTAGTCATTGGGAACTTCACCAGACTGCCACGATTTCTGAAATATGACGGATAGTGGCTTAGCAACTTCATCTGCCAGTTCCCTCAGGACCCGCGGATGCACCTCATCAGGTACGATGAACTTGTCCACCTTCATGTTCTTTAGATGATCTCAAATCTGATCTTCTCCTACAGTGGGCGGTTCTTCATTCTCCTAGTCTCTGCCTTTGCCTTCTGTGACTCGGGCTATGCAGCTGGAGCTCTTGCCAGACCGAGGCAAAGAAGTCATTGAGTACCTAGGTAAGAAAGCCTTCTGGAGAAGTTTGCACAAATGTCTCCTTCCAATTTCTTGTCAAAAGGTAAGAATGGCCTTCATGCTCTTGTTTTTGTGGAACAGAGATAGAAGCACTGTACCGATACATACAGCTCTCTCTGCTTTTCCTTTGTTTAAAAAGAGGTGTTAGTTACAGTATTTACCTTTGACAACCATTTGTTGTTTTGTCCTGCTTTCCTCATTGATTGCAAACACAGATGTTTCAGTGAAAATGATAACACTGACGTATTACTGTCAACATTCTGGTTTCTTCAGCCAGGGAAGGTGGAAAACATATCTTTGCTGAACTTCATATAATAATAAAAATAACAATGAACTCAGCCTCCAAGCCACATGAACGTTTTTCAACAGTGTGAATTATTTCAAGAAGCTGTTCCAGAGGTTACATAAGCCGAGTAGTCTAACTTATTTCACCATGAATCTATATATCTTAAGCACACACAAAGGCCCAGCTGTCTAGGAAGAAATAACAGATTTTTGCACTAAAAGACACAGGATATTACCCAACTAATACAGGGTATTGCCTCATTTCTATAAAAGCAGTTATGGTACCAAAGGCGAAGAGACTAAGGAAGTAACTGAAGAGTGCTCTTCTAAACTTTGAAAAGTAACACTCTTTTTTTAAAAAAGTTATCCTTTACGAAGATCATTATACTGATAATCTGAAGTTGTTCCACAACTATTTGGTCCAATGTAATAAAATAAAGCCTTACAGTTTTCAATCCTGAAAAAACAGACTACTGCTCCAGTCAATAAATAGTCTTAGACGGTCATCTCAGATAGATCTCTTCAAACTCAAAGTTGTGTTTTGTAGAACTGCTCGGGTTTTATAGTAGTGTAATGGAGTACATAATCCGGGTTTAGTCTGTTGTGTTGTTAATGTACCCACTTAAACCAAGCACTTACATTGCCATACTACTGCTTATCCCTTTGTCTTGTCTTCCTCCCACAAAGAGAGGAGAATTTAAAATCCTTATCATTTGCTTTGTAAATCATTTCTAGCTTCTTGGGAAAACATCCTATTGGATTTGCTCCACTGGCAGAAGATCTAAACTTGTGACTTGGTGCTCAATGTATTTCTAGGCATGCATTTGTGCACAAACAACTGCCAGCTTATTTTCCGTTTAGTACAGGACAAAAGCACAAATCACACCAGGCTGCTTGTATATAGCCAAAATAGGCACCCATTGCTGTTTGTGTTCAGCAACTAACAAACCCAATGAAAATCAAGCCAAATATGTGTTCAGAATATGGTGATTTCCAACAACTGTATAAACTAATGCTAATATTAAAAACTAAGAAAATAAGATTTCCTGGTCCCTTGATCAAAATTATTCTTCCTCCCCCAAAATATTAGCTGGGTCAATTGCCGGAACGGAAAAAAAAAATCTTCCATTCTGGGGTCTCAGGTGTACTACTTCATAAACATTTATACTGCTCACAAGCACCTGTTTTATTATTGCTCAAGTATAATATTTGACTTGGACAATTTGCGATGGATTTAATATAGCAGCTCTTTGTGCATACAGCAGAAGGAAATGCAGCTCATCTGTCAAACAAACTGCCCTGCACTTTCTTGCAACATGGGGCAGAAGATGAACTGGCTCAGCCAATACACCTGCGTGCAACTGACCTTGGATACAACAAGCTATGCTGTCATTTCCTGCTGGAGGAATTAATCTACATAAGGGTCTGCTTGAAAAATTAAACATTCACACTGTATTTGAAGTGTATTATGAGTCAATTTTTTTCTGCTACAGAATTTTTGCATCAGTAATTATTTCCTGGAGATCAGAGTCTAGCTGAAAGCTGCTTAGATGCAAGAGACAGGATAACATTGTCTTGCTCACCTCCCAGTGATGTTCTTCAACTGTGCCAGAATTCTGTTTATGCAGCTGCTGTGCTGCTTTTGAAGTAGGTGAAGAATGAAATCCCTTCATGACTGTTTGTTGTTTTGCATCTCTGGGTCAAGTGTATTTTTCTCTGGACTGACTTGGAGCAGAGAATTCTGAGGTTTCTACAGATTATCCATAGACTGTTCCCACATACCACCAAGACTGTTTGCAAAGTGATCCTTAATAAACAAGGAGACAGGAGACCCTAATAGACTCCCAAGTACAGCTCTCAAGGTAGTTCATGTCAATATTTCTTCATCAGCACATGCTGAATCAGCCTTGAGGAAAAGTACTAAACAGAATTGTTTCACAATAAACAAGCTACTTCCTGCCTCAGGGAAACACCTCAGTATCCTGAAGGTCTTACTGCCCATATAAATCATGTTACATATATTATGCCAGGAAAACAGGATGCAGAGGTGATTCCTCTGCTTTCCCTTTGGTTGATGAGCCTTGCCCATTCAAGTAAGTCTTCTGCATTGCCAGGATCTGCCTGAAATCAACCTCCAAAGAGGATCTGCATGTAGATGTGGCCCTTAGGGACATGGTTTAGTGGTGGACTTGGTAGTGTTAGGTTTACAGTTGGACTTGTAAAGTATCTTTTCCAACCTAAACGATTTTATGATTCTATGATCTGCCTCAACTCAACCTGCAAAGTCTCTAGGAGTGACTTTACATACCGATTTTTTTTGATGGACCAGTGCAAAATAGCAGATAGCAAAGACCAAAATTTGACCCACAACTCTCAAAGATAGTACCCAAATAATCCTAAGAATTAGATTGACGGTGTAAATCCACAAGCTTTTTACACTTAGCTCCGCAGTAGTTACTCTAATACTTTTTATATATTTTTCCATAAAGCAGTTCTATTCCAGTAGTCTGGCACTCACAAGTATAACACTACAGTAACAAATTTCTTAGCGCTGAACAACACAGAGAAAAAGGAAACAGTTTCAGACTCATGAGGGATTATGATAGATAAATAAGGCAAAAATAACTCATAGAACTCTGAAAAAATCTTGAGTTTCTTTAAAATAAATAGTGCACAACAAATGAAATCAAAAATGCAAAACTGAAGTCATCAAATATCAGGGTTGGTATCTCTTAAAACCAGTCTTGCACCCCAAGGTCTAAGGACACTCCAAGCCACTCCTTGTCAAGTGTAAGCAATGGGACAGTGCAAAGTGAAGTAACATGATGAATGGCTGCTGGAGGGCAGGAGAAATAGGCCCCAGAATTTTGGGTTGCCCAGGAGACCAAACTGACACCGCGTAAACAGCTGAATTTTTTCAGACTGCATTATCACTTTGCTTGTGTTTCAAAACTTTGTAATTCATTGAGATCTTACAGATCATACTCAAGAATATCACATAATCTTCAATTTTCAGATATGTAAAGCTATTTCATGAACAAACTGCTCTAAACTTACTCCAAATTTACCTAAGTTGTTATTATTCACCACAGAAATATTTCCAGTGGCGAGTTCTCCCCCTCTATAGCTATTAGTCAAGGTGACATAGGAAGTGTTGAAATGGCAGATCTTGTTAGAACGCTAATATTATTTAAGGCAGAAGTTAATAACTCTGCAGGTTAACTTTACGACCAATTAATCATACAATGTGATGAGTGCTGGAGGCATTCTATTCCAGATGCACATCCTAATTTACCTGCACTAAATCACACCTCAGCAAGATAGCATTGTGGTTGATACATAAAACAATGAATCGCTCAGCTAAAAGAAACTCTCTTTTGAACTACTAGGAATTCAGCCTATGAAATAAAATCTTTTGCATTTAGTGAGTGTTATGCAATGCAGTATCACTCTTACCTCCATGGGAAAGGCCTTAAAATTAACTGTGTGTTCAGAACCACGCTGGTTTTCTCTCCCCCAGTGAAATCGAACATCATGTAGTTCAAACTCATGTCCTCGAGGTAATGGCCCCCCTATTAACACTGGGAAAGAAGACAAACGGTAAGGCTTCCCAAGCAGACGAGACACTAAAATACTCTCCAAATACAATGCAGAGACTGTTGCAAACTTCTTTATTATCTAGAGAGAAGAGTAAAGTTGACAGTCTTGATATCTTTACTTTTGAAGCACCACGCAAGTACAGAACGCAAATTCAGGCAGTTAAGAAGAACAGTGAAATTGCTGTCATGCTGCACTCTTTGTTTTATAAGGCAGAACAGCTGGCCATAACACAAAATAAAAACATTATACCTTTAACAGTCAGAAGAGTGAATACGTTTATTGCTCTTATCAGGACACATAGCTGTGTGCTCTAAACAGATGGTGAGGGTTATTATTTGAACTGGTAACTACCTCTAACTTGTCCAAATGCTCAACCTCCACCACCTATATTTGCTATGAGTCACAAAAACTGATAGAAAACTTTTGACTGCCGTATTTTGCTAGGTAAAGGTGTTCAGTCATATACCGCCTGTCAGGTTTCTGAGATACAGAATGCCTCCATACCCAAATATAATCAAACCTACACATAGGAGCAATGACATAACCTCATTTACTTAAAACTAGCTTTCAGGTAGCCATGGCTTTTTTTTACTTCAGTTTTTTAAACATCTGGAATTTCTTAAAAGCATCTATCCACAATTGCAACACACACCAAAATAAATTATATAATAGCTTGATACTTTTGCATTAATAGAGACTTCCACCACAAGTAGTAAAAGCAAGCAATTGTACCTTGTGAGGCCCAATCTACTTTGGAATTAATCAATTAAAACATTTTGCCCAGGGATTTGTGAATCTACTTCAGCTTCAATATTGCTCCACGAGCTGTAGGTAACTTCCCACTGAAATCATGGAATATTGTCTTCTAGGCAGTGCTGGATTTTACTATAGGACATTCACAGTCTTCCCTAGAATCCATTAAATTCTAGCTTATGTTTCATAGACTTTGAATGAATCCCTAATAAGGATTATTTAATTGCATAACCTGCAGGTTTAGGGAATTAAAGTTCCATAATATAAAGTTATTTGGACACACAAACTAAACGGTCTTAGTTTGGAGCACAAGATACAGTGTAATACTAAAATTCATTTAGCAATTAAATCATATTGCATTGTATGAACACAAAACCAAAAGTACAGAAATGTAATAAACCTGAAAGAAAACCGACCAGATATAGTTTCCTAAGAAATTACATTGCTGAAAAAAGGGTAAAATATTCCAATTAATCCTCCTTCAACAGTTCTTCATAACTAATCAAATAGCCATTAGGGTTTCTAAAATGAAATATCCTAAATGTAGTTACAGAGTTATAGATTTGCTTCTTAATGTGCTTTATCTCTATTCTGTCTATACCTACATACTATAGGGAAAATCTACAGATGAACATGGGGGGAAACAAACCATTTAAGTATTTAGGGAAATCTGGACAAATAAACAGAAGTATGCTACTCAGTTAGTGTTATTCCTTAAGAAAATTGAGCATTTTCTTTGTTTTAAAATATTGTTCCTAGAGAAAGTGTAACTAGAACAAATGTTCTCTATATGATGTAGTTCTGGATTTGCAGGAGCTTCAAAGAGTTTATTTCTGAGGCTTAAGTTATAACTTTAATCCCATGATAAAAGTATTTCAATGCATGAAACATGTTTATCTTTCGTTTGCCTTTCATCAAATCTTGATCCTTGTCAAGCATAAAACATGTTTAACTTTGCTTTGCCTTTCAGCAATATTTGATCCTCATTAGAAAATGATTCTGAAACCATCATCTACTGTGCAACCTACTGCTGGCTTAAGAGAAGTCCCTCTGTTAGTAGGATATCCTCTAAAGCATTTTTCAATATACAATTCCATTACACAGTTGGTCATGCTTCTTCCACCTAATGCATAACACATGTACGATGATCAAACTGAAAGCAGCCTGTGAAAATGTTTGCAATTAAATAATAAGAAAGATTTAGGAATGCCAGATGGACTGCATGTCCTGAATTAAAGGATAAAATCAATCACCAGTAATGACAAATTGATTTTTAATATGTGTCTTAATCCGTTTACTTTTTTCCACAAGGAGGTTTTTCTTCGACTGTTAACATTACAGTAGATGAGAATCTCTTGCACATTAATTGGCCAGTTTCAAAAGCATTTAGTGCTCAATATTTCCCATTAAAATAATCTGGCTAAATGGATTTGTCATCAGAGATCCCCTGTGAGGAAAAGAAGCTGCAGGAGTTTCCGCAATCCCTGAAAATTGGCCAGAATACTAGGTCAAACACAGCTTATTAACTCTTTTCTCCTCTTGGTAGGGCTAAGAAATGTTGTCTCTCTCCTCCGAGAAATGGAAAAACTATCCCGTTTCCAAACAGAGAATGCGAAATTACGTAACACAAAATCTAAGGAAAAGCTGAAACTAAAGCAAGATTTCCTAAATCATACTTCCATATCTCAGTCATAAACTCTTACGCTATTTCACACTTTCTCATATTTCAAGACTTATCATTCTCACATCACACTGCATTCAAGTTTAAAAGAAGTCTTTCCCTCTCCTAAGTCTCCAATGGTTTTGCACACACATTTAGGTGTGCTGCTCCCATCTTCTTAATTATTGCTACTACGTTAAAAACTGCCCTCTGGAAATGTAGGGTTGAACAAGTTGCATGTTGGCATGCAAGTGATGACGTCGTTTGCAGTCACTCTCACCTCCTCCACAGGAGAATTTAAGAACCTTCCTGAGGCTGCAGTGAGAACCTTAGTCCTTGGGAAAAGAGCTCTGCTTCTGAAGAAGGCAGTAAAACCGACCAGAAGCACCAAATTTCTATTCTATTGGAAATCTGCAAAATTCTGTGGAAAGAAATGTTCTGTGTCCCAGTAAAACATGGAATTTACCATGGAAAGGAAACTATAAAGGAAAGCACCGTTATTAAAATAGCAAACTCTTCTTTTTTAAAAAACTCAGTGTAAAACTGAACTGACTTCCTCACTCCCAGCACAGCTGTAGCTCCCGGCACAGCTGTAGCTCCCAAGACTACTGAGATCTCAGAATGAAACAAAACTGGGGAAGCCTCAAGGTTTGACAATGTTCAGCTGTTTAAATGCCTCCAAAGGCTGCTAATAGTTAGGACTGGTTAGAATTACTTGGATGCTTTTCCAAATACATGGTAAGAACAACCACAGTGCTGGAAAGCACAAGGACTTTTTTCTCCCTACTTTCTTGACAGTTGTCTCCTTCATACAGAGCAGTTTATCCAGATGAAAGGTCTGCATGAGATACTGCAATTTCACTTAAGTTGGGATTGTTTCTCTTACTATTTGTTTCTAATTCTTATTTGATGAATGACACCAAAAAAAACATTAAGAAATGAGGACTGCTTTGCTACCTGCTCTTCATCAATACTGTAAGGATGTGTAACTGGAGCATCTATCTTAAGCTGCCCAATTCTGCAGTTAGCATTCACAGCCCACTCAATGGAAAAGCTCTTTTAACTAACATAGTCTTTGGAACAAGGACAAATTTTGCCAGCTGTACAAAACAGTTTGGCATCACACTGCCTCAGTGACAGTCTGGACTGCTTCTGAACGCAGACCACTGTTAACGTCAGTGAATTAGACACCACCACAAGAGGAAATTCTGGCCATGCTCTGAAGTAAAGTGACCATCCCGTTTGGCGCTGAAACTTGCAGCTCTCGCTGCAAAGCTTGCTCCTTTTCCCACTGGAGTGAACAGCAACACTCTTACGGCCGCAGTCCACGCCGAAGGAGCACAACAGCTCGCTGCCGGGAGCCGCAGCTGTTCCTGTGCTCCGGGATACACGTACAGCAAGTCTTAAGGAAACACGAGCTTTAGCGGGGAAAGCAAAGGCAGCGTGTTCCAGCGTACCTGATTTTGACTTCAGGGCAATCTGAATCGAATGCCCGTCGTTGATCACTTCACAGTCACGACACACCACGTAGTTTGGCGACAAACGCACTTCCAGGAGCGAGGGATCATATTTAGCTTCTCTCGAGTTCAAGTTGATAGGCGACTGGTACTCCCCGTTAGCATCGGGAAAAATCAGCCCCCACTCCACTCCTGCGACACAAGTGAAGCTGTTACGGGGAGACCCAGTACGCTGCGCTGCTCGGGCCGGCCAGACCCTCCCCGCTCCCATCGACCGCCTGGCCG